GAAAGATACACTAGAAGCCATTGAAGCAAAGTATCGTGGTGATGTGAATCAATGCTTGACAGAGTGCCTCTCCCAATGGCTACGTAGAGCTGATAATGTTGACAGTAGAGGAGGAGCCAACTTGGACTCACTGTCAGATGCTCTAGGATCTATGAATGAAACTGCTGTAGCTGAGAAGTTAAGTGAGTCAACCATAACTGTATGTAACTATAATCATTGTATTTTCTATCATAGAACATGATGTTCTTATTAATATTTTTAATAATCGTCATACTGTCCTGTCTCAGTCTCTTTGTGATCCTATTGCTATTGCTTGGTTACTTTATGGTGAACGTATGTTAACACAAGAAGCAGTTAGTAGAGTGGTGTCAGCTAGTCCCTCTATTCCTAATCAACGTGAGGCTCTATTAACTGCTGTCAAAGAAGCTGTTCAAACTGATCCCAACAGTTTACATACATTTGCTAATGTATTGTGTACAATCAGTACTAATGTATCACTGGGACAAGCTATACTGGATGATATTAGTGAGTAATAAGTACTCATAGTTTCCAATGAAACGGGTGGGGCTGCATGATGTGGGTGGTGCCGGGTGGCAAGTATAATTCATTATTGTGTATAGTCAATGAATATCTGCAATTATCAGGTCATGTGAGTATGTGTGGGTGGAAAAAGATTTATGAATGAAATTAGTTGAACCTATTTTATGTACTGTTTATTTAATTTTTAGAGAAGTATTTTCCTACTCCTGAAGTTGGTGAGGATCATGATGTACAAGGTAAGAATGATTGATGATAATGCATTCATTAATATTTATAGATAATACTAGTACTAATGAAATCAAGACACCAACTAATGCTCAATCTGGTCAGTACAATAACATAGCAACAAACTTGGTACATTAGATCTATTTATTCTTCAATCCATAGTCACATCTAGTCCTTCTGATGGAGCAGTTGTTAGTAACTCATCTTCTTAACCTTTATCACCTCAAGGTAACATTGATTTGATTATCTGCATCTACATCTATTGTTCATGCTTTGATGTACATGTAGTTGAAATACCTGTTCCAATGCATTTACTTCAGAATTTTAAATCAATGAAGACTTCTTACACAAGGATGTTTTACGATGTTAATAAGATATTAAAAGGAAAATTGGACGTGAATGACATCAAGGAATTCCTGTCTTATTATAGTGTTACCTTTCGTAAGAAAGTAGAGCAGTGTTCAGATATTTCTAGCATCCTTCATCATGTTAAAGACGAGTGTTCTCTGACGGACATCGAACTGCTTCATAGCATAGTGGAAGAAATTGCTGAAGCTAAGGAATACATTGAGACATATAGAGCAGAGTTAAAGGAATTTTACAAATCAATCTCAGTTAGTCTTTGTCTGGAAGAAAATTTGGCTCTGTTCCTCTGAAATGTGAAACGGCAATTTTTATCTTTGATTGGAAGCCGGAAGATCATATGTTAAAGGATATCAAGGGTGTATTGTCTAAAGTGTCCGGTAAATTGCTGATCATTAAGTATATAGAGTCTGGTAATTCCATAACTGTCACTTGCTCCTTTCCTTTCTCTGATGTTGGGTTTACTGTATTGAGGATGATAGAG